TCTGGCTGTCATACATGCATGCAGCAATTTAGATGACTGGATTCCAAAAAACCAAATTGCCCTATTCAGCTTTCGTATTTTCTGAAGGTGAAAATTAATGTGGTTCTGCATTTTCTTGCATCTCATGATAAGAGTCACGCAGCTCCACTTCAGCTGTCATGCTCATCCTCACTGAGTAACTTGGGGAAAGCCATTGGAAAGAGAAGTTTTGTTCTCTGGCCTGATTATACCATCCAAAATTAGGTCCCATGGCCCACACATAATATTTAGGGTGACCATATAACCCAGCTTGCTGGTAGCACATCTGATTTATGTCTGTTGTCTGCAAGAAGGTAATGAAGGTAAGGTAACACTTACCTTCATTCTCAAAAGTGTTGCTTTTTGGATGACAGGCTTTTTATTTGGTTATGCTAGTTGCGGGAATGAAGGGAAGGAAATGCATCTCTGCTACAATGATCTCCTCCTTTCTGTCACCACAGCTCCATTCGGCAGCCCTGGCATCACTAAAGGGAGATATAGTGGAACTTAATAAACGTCTCCAGCAAACAGAGAGGGAACGGGACCTTCTGGAAAAGAAATTGGCCAAGGCACAGGTAAGGGATCTGGAAAGGTTTTTGTTTTTGTTTTGTTAATTTTTTTTTAATATTTAATTTTAAGATAAAACATGGGTACAGAAATTCCCACAAAACATATTACAGCTTTATCAGCAAATACTCTGTCTTGGTCTACTCTGGCTGCTGTAACAAATACCATAGATTTGTGGCTTAAACAACATTTATTTCTCACAGTTCCGAAAGCTACGAAGTCCAAGGTGCCTACCGAGGGATCCCTTCCAGATGGCTACCTTTTTTTTTTTTTTTTTTTGAGGCAGAGTCTTACTCTGTCACCCAAGCTGGAGTGTGGTGGCACGATCATGACTCACTGCAGCCTCAACTTCCCATGCTGAATCTGTCCTCACACCACAGCCTCCCAAGTAGCTGGGTCTGCCAACTAATTTTTTGTGTTTTCTGTAGAGATGGGGTTTCGCCATGTTGTCCAGGCTGGTCTTGAACTGCTGAGCTCAAGTGGTCCTCTTGCCTTGGCCTTCTAAAGTGCTGGGATTACAGGCATGAACCATCGTGCCTGGCCTTTTAATTACCTTGTTAATATTAATTTTATTCCTTTTCTTTGATTTTTCAAGGACATCTATCATTTGTATGTTACATCATCTTTGCCTATCTTTATCTGTGACTATCTTAAATATTTTAAATCTTTTTTAATTTAATTTTTTCTTTTCCTTTTCTCTTGGGGCATTATATGTTGTTTTTAGCCTTTCTTTTTTGACTTCTAGTGTAGTCATCATTTCTGAAATGCATTTTCATTTTATTTCTAACTCTTTTCTCACTTCTGAATTTTTCTAATTCCTAATGTTCTTTTCTGTCTCATGTCTTTTAGTTTATTTTGAAATAGTAGGCTATTATCTGGAGTGTTTTTGTTTGGGGGATTTTGTTTTTGGTCTGTGTTGTGGCATGCTTTTATGGTTTATAAGGATGTTCTGCCCTTATTTTGTATAACTTTGTATGGGATTTATTTTGTATAACTTTGTATGGGATTTGACGTCAGTATCTTTCTGTTTTTCATTTTCATGTGAAAAATAATTTCCTTGAACTTTCAGGAGGCAGGGTTTAAAATGGCTTTCTAAAGTGTTTAGAACCTAGCCTTCTGTTGTTTTCTTGTCACAAATGGCAGCCTGCTTTCTGTCACTATCTGACTCTGTTCCTTTTACCTACTTTTATCTGGCCCTTTTCTTTCCTTTGTCTCTATTATTCCCATCCTGTTCAATTTTGTTTCCACTCCCAGCAGTTTCTCTTTCTGGAAGACAGGGGCAGTTTCCAAAGTTCACAGGGACTAGCCTACGTTAGCCTCTTCAAATTTTACTGTGGGCCCCTTGCACTGACTCTTTGGTCAGGCAAAACCCCTCCTAGTTTTAGCTACTATTCTCCAACTGGGCATCCTTACTTTCCTGTGAATTCCTTTTGGTTTTTAAGGGGTTTTCCAGTTCTCAGATACATCAACCTTGTTTCCCTCTGATTTTCCCCATGCTGATGCCACTCAGATCTTGTGGATGATGTTGGTTTATTCTTACCTGCTTGTATTTTGTTTTTCAATAGCCTACCTTGTCTCCAAGCTTTGGGCTTTATACTGTGTAAGTGCTTTGTTTATTTTTATGTGGGAATGCAGAGAAATTTTAATACCAGGCTGCTATAGCCATCTTTCCAGTATGACCTATGGAAAATTTTTGGAAACTTTCATGTCTCATAATCAAAGACTTTGAGTAGAGGGAAAAGATTCTCTGTATTTAAGATCATCCACTTTCACATTTGACGGACATCTGAAGGAGATTAACTTGATTACCCAAAGATAAATGAGTAGCTCAGCAAGGCCACCCGTGCCTTTTCTCACTATAGGATGTTATACATCACAAAAATTTTCAGTTTTTAATTAGACGAAAATGTTACTTAGAATATTTTCCCTCTGATTATAAAAGTGATAAAATTGTGATAGAAAAAACTAGAAAGCATTAGAATATTTCGGTGGTGGTCTCTGAACAGAAACTTTTTTAGTGCTTTTTTTGTTTTACAGTGTTTTTGTAAGAGAAAATAGTTGTTTTTATATTTAAAAACAACAAAATGGTGGTGACTATTTTCTAATTTACACCCACCCAAAGCCAGCCATCATTACCAATTCTTATTGATGAGAATTTGTTTAAAGAAAGAAAATTGTGAATGCATTTAATTGGAAGCTGGCATGTACAGCAGTCTTGGATTTTAAAAAGTGACCAGAAAGGTATTTATTAAAATTTAAGCCTACAAAGACAGCTTTTACAGAGGATGGTAAGAGGATAATGGAAAATTTTTTCTCTAAGTCAAGGATTGATTGAGCTCTTTTTTTACTTGTGGTCAAGCCATCCTCATGTAATAGCTTTTGATGACTGATTTTACCCTTGATGATAATGGCCACATCATAGAACCATTTATTGACTCTCTTATTTGCGTTCTTAAGTGAAATAGATTTAAAAATTACTCTCTGCTCCTCTCACTGGAGATTTCTTCCCAGTTCATATACTGGAACCTAGGAAAGAGAACGTGGAAAAAAAACTCAGACTTAGATCTTTAAAAACATGAAATTTACGCAAGAAAAATATAAGAACAATGAAATGACTGTGCCACATTTTCTGTGTTATATGCTTTGGTAAAAGATTCATGTTTGAGGCTTTACCAGATTGTGGAAGAGCAAATTCATGTGTAAATTTATGCTGTGTGGCTCTAGTAAGTTTTACCAGCTCTCTAAATATTATAGTGCCGTGATTAAACTAAAATGTAAAATGTAAACGGTGGTTATGTTCAACAGACATTACCAAGAGAGCTGCAACATCTGTTGAATCATTATTAAAGGTGACACTGGAACTGGTTGAATAAAAGAAGGTGTCTTATATATGCTCATGACATCAACCTGTAGGTAGCGTTTTGAGAATAGTGATATGAAGGGAAGAGCCCAATATCAATGTGATGGGGAAGACGAAGTGCTTCTGTATTTTCTATTGCTGTATAATAAATTGCCATAAACTTACCGGCTGAATACAGCACACCCCTATCCTCCCAAATTGAATAGGGGCACAGCCATGCACCAACATTCCATAGCCCAGTGGCGACTGAGCCTGTGGGAAACTGGCTAAGATCATATATAGTGCTGATTTGATGCTTTCAGCATATTTGCTGTTTATTTAGTACCAACAATTATTTTAAGTTACTGCATTTTTAAGTACTTCAGAAGGAGATATGTCAAACAAGCTTATGAACCCCTTTAAAATCGGTGAGCAGTAATGTGGAACACTTTCTAAGCTCTTTATCTTTGGAAAGCAAGTCTCCTGAATTTTCTACCTCTTGGCATTCAGGAAGAGAACACACACAGTTTTCCTTACGTGAAATGGAGAGTTTTCTCTTTTTCTCTTGTTTTCTGAGATAACTTTTATGAGATGTAGTCGGCATGTATTTTTGTTAGGATCGCCTCATTCCATTCCTTTCCTATTTGTTTATGCTTCTCTTTGGTAAACTACTCCAGCTGCTTTGCTCCTTAATGGCATTTCCATTTGTGTTGGTGCCTCTTTGTTTAGCTGGCCCACTCTCCCCTTAGCGAGGGAACCTGGGCAGGAACTTAGAGTGAGGGTGGAAATACCCCGAATAGTGTTAGTTGTGACAAATCCTCTGTGACCTTGAGAGGGTAACATTGCTTGTTAGCATATTTTAAAAGGGAGTGGTAGTAACCTCCTTCACAGGATGGTTGAGAGGGTTAACAAATTAATGATGGCATTGCATTTTCCCAGAACCTAGTTCATAATGCTCTTAGGTTTGACAGCTGACACTAATGCGATGATTAAAGATCAGTGGCCTCAGTGGAGTAAGATAAAACCCAGTGAAGAACATTAACAAAACCATAAAGCTGCTTAGCATCACCACATTGCACAGGGTTTTTCCAACAGGGGCTCAAGTTCTCAGGCCAGACTGTCTCAAGGCTGACTCAGGGCTTTATCCCTGGATTGCGCCATAGCAGGGATGAGCCTAAAGGATTTTATTCTCAGTGGTTTAAATGACGATGTTGCTTATTTTTATTACACATTTTTGCATATTGGCGATTTCACCAATTTATGTGGCTAGACACAAGTATTTATGTGAATGTTTAATTTGCTTCATCATCATGATAGGAAAGCTAAGATCTCAAGAAGAAACTCCGGGTATATATTAAGTGCCAGATGAAATTTGGGAAAAACAAACTTTTATCATATCCAGTGTCAATGATTTTTTTCTTTTCCTTTCAAACTGAAAGTCTGTAGTTGTGAGACAAATCTAGACTCCTAATGAAAATGGCCTCCAGAAATTAATGGCAGGCAAGATGCTGCAACCACAGGCTTTCTGGCTTTGTGGCACTGTACCTTCAGTCAAAAACTAAATATGGGCTGGGAGGAGGAAGAACCCTGGATGCGATTACCTGTAATGATAGAAAAAAAAAAAAAAAACAGTAGCATGTTATTTGAGACCAATTTTTATTTTGTCCAGCTGAAATTATGTGAGGTATCTCTGTCCAATAGAGAGAAGAAAATAGTCTCTAACTTACAAGTTGTAGTAGAAGAAACTGCCTTTGGTCCCAGAGGCTGCTAAGTAAATTATCACTGAATAATTGACTTTGGAAGCTAAAGTTGGCTTGTTGGAAGCTGGAGAGACTTTGAATTCCCTGTTTCACACCCCCTTGTGTCTCCTTTTCTGTTTTTATCCTCTCTGGGGGTAGAAGAGAGAGCTCTTTGGGCTTTCCTAACTCTCTTTGGTATATAAGACCTAACATTCATGCTTCCTGGAGTTCACAGAGGCGTTTCAGGGTCTGAGACCAAGGTACCACCTAAGATCCTTAGGTAAATGGTGAAGAGGATGTAAGCCCACAGGTCAGGGAGCTGGAGGAGGAAGACATAGAGGAGGGAGGATTGCGGCTGCAAACAGCTTCAATGCCTTGATGGCAAAAATAGGAATCGGAGGGGTATTTGTTACCTGGGTTACAGGAAATA